TCCAAGAGGGCGCCCTGGCTGAGAGCCTTCCCCACAAGGCCTCGCGAGGGCTGCCTTGGAAGCTCAGAGGGGTGGGTGGAAAGAGGTGGCGCTGCTGGCTGGTCCAGATGACCTGATTCAGAAACTGTCAGGATGGGTGTGGGAGGGGGCATGTTGCCCAGTCCAAGCCACTTTTAGGTCCGCAAGGAAGGCTCTGAAGGAGAAGCCAGCCTAGGAGGGGAGGCTCAGCCTGGTCAAGGGTAGGAGTCCTTTAGGCAGTCAGCTGCCTCTGGCGGTGATGGGCTGACCGAGGAACACGGCTGCCCTTTCCTTCCGCAACCCAGCAGCTGGACTGTCCAAACCAGCCCCACCCTGGGAAGCGGGAGGCTGGACCTCAGGTCCCTGTGACCCCAAGAGCAGCCCTTGCTCTCCCCCCCAGAAGGGGCCTCTGTCTGACCCCACAGAAGGGGAGCTGCCCTTGACTGGCCAGGAGGTTGATCCAGGGGCCAGGAGAGTTGGCTCTTTCCTCAGCCCCATGCCCAGGAGATGCCCCGAGGGGCAGGGTCAGAATGCAGCCGCAGACTCACTCTCCATCATAGAGCTCATCTTCGTGGCAGATGCGCTGGGTGACCACGGTGTCTGCTCCATCAATCTTCTTGGCTGAGCCCTGAAGGAGGGGAGGTTGTGGTTCAGGAAGACCTCCTAACATCCCCAACCCCCCCCCCAGCCGACACTTGTCAACTGCAGCTCCCTACTGGAAGCCCAGCATGCTTTGTTGGAAGGTTTGTATGGGCCTCCCGGTGAGGGAAGATTTCATCAGAAAACCCGGCCACCTGCCCACGCTCACTTCCCCCCACTGGCACTGGAGCAGAAGGGCTGATAGCTGGCCGCTGGGTACGGGGGCAGGAGGAAAGACCTGCCAGGATGAGAGTTACATTGCAGGGAGCCTTCTTGGCAGCCAAGGGAGGAAGCTGGCTTTTCTCAGCAGCTGGACTGGAGAAACTGCCTCTGCAAGCAAAGCAGGTTCTCACCCGCTCCCCCAAGTCTGTGCCCCAGCTGTACCACTGGGACACTCCTCCAGGCAGAACATTCACCTTCATCTTTCAGCCACACCTGTCAGCCAAGCCCTGCGGAGCCAGACAGCCAGGTACCGCTTGCATCCGTACCATGAGCAGCGCGCACCCCCCCACGCCCCCCAAACCTCACAAAGGCCTCCAGGGCGTTGAGCAATGAGGGGAGAGCTCACTCCTTCTGTAGCGGTGGCTTGTCTCGTGGTGTGCCCCTGCCTGCTGCTTCCTGGGGCTGAGAGAGAAGGACTGGCCCAAGCTGGCTTCATGCCTAAGGCAGGACGAGAACTCACGGCCTCCCAGTTGCTAGCCTGGTGCCTGAACCACAACACCAAAGTGGCTGTCTGTGATAATATTTAAAGTGACCTAAACAGATATTTTATGGGAAATGTTCATTGAAATAAAATTGAAATGCAAACATAATACAGTCAAATTTGTTGTTTCTCCCTGCCCAGCCTGCTACTTTCTCACAGGCTAATCTGCATTTTAGAGTAGCCCCCCTGCCCCAGAAGACTATTCCTGGCCCTGGGAAAAGGTGTGCATCCTTTCTGTAAAATAACTCTGCTTTCCCAGCTCCATCTAAGTGAGCCTCTCCCCTCTGGAGAGATTACCCTGTCGCTCACTACAGCCTGTGACCCTCACAGGGAAGGATCATCCACCTCGCTTGAAACAAGTAAAATAAGATCTCAATCAGCCTTAATCAATCTGATGCCTTCTTTATTCTGGGGGTGTCCACTTCCATAATTCCCAGCCAGACAGGTTTTCCAGGCTGGCTGGGAATTATGGGGGTCACAGCACAGCTGGGAAGGGCTGCCTTTGCAAGTCAAGCATCTGGCAGAAGGAAGGTGTGGGTGAGCAGCGCTCTGGATGCCCCTTTCAGACACTCCCTTCAGTTCCCAAGGCATTCAAGGAGGGACAGGGGCAAGGCAAAGAGCGTTCCTGGACTGGACCCTCTCTGCCCACAACCTTCCAGCTGACCCCTCCTCACAGGGTGGTTGAAAAGTGGGTAGAGAAAAACCACCCCCCTTGGCGCCCAAGGAAGGATGCGATCAAAGCGCAGTGCCAAGCCCCGCAGCTGCAAATCTCCATGCAGGTGTGGGGGGCCTTCGGTCTTGAGAGCCGGGGACTTCTGCCCCCCCCGTCCCAGCCCGCCCGGAGAGACTCCCGCCTGGCCCGCCCGGGTGATCTGTGCGACGGCACCGAAGGCTCCCCCCGCCCCCCGGAGCCAGGTTACTCGCCCGTGCTCAGGGCAGCGCA